GGCGGCACCCCCGCCCACATCTTCAACCACCGTCGTGGACCAGCCTCTCGGAATTTAAAAAACATTCACAGCCTTAAAAGTGATGACCATATTGACCTAAATAGCCGAGTTCAAATTAACCTCAGCAAGGGCAGGATCTTCTCATTATTGCCACTTTTACTCCATGACTAACCCAAACGATGCCCAGTTAAAATGGGTCATAACACAAACAAAAAGAGAATAAACACCATAGATTGTTTTTGTATCGTGCTCACGTATCTCTAAAATCTTTAAAAAAGTAAAAGGGAATTTCTAAAATGAAAATTGGACATGGCATCTTAGTGTAGAAATACTGGAAACTTTAATTTCACCTGAGAATACTCCAGAGTTGTACTGTTTGTATAAACACATGACTGTCCGGAAAGGCAAAGTAGCATATGAAGCAAAACACTCTTGTAGCAATTATAGAAGCCCTACTTTTTTATTCTACGGCTCCTGAGCTTTCAGTTAACTTCTCACTGCATTTTAGGAGTTCCTAAGCCATGAACTGCTGGAAGGGGATTCTGGAGGAAAGAATAACATTTGGCCTTTTCCCACAGACCTCCTTGGTCCACACCATTATGGGCTGTAGCGAGAACGCCAGAATTAAGACTGTATTTCTGAGCCTGAATTATCTGCAACAAAACATTGTATCTACTTTTCAGAGGCTGAGAGAGAGTACAGAAAGAAAAGAGGATGCAAGGTACAGGGGACATAATCTGCAGCATTCCCAATTGGCCTGAGAGACACCTGCTGCTTACAGCTCTGTTACCAGCTGCTTTTAAATGACTTTTCCGATGAAGCATCAGGTAGAATTGGGTCACACCGAAGTACAAGGTAGATACGCAAAGAGTTCACTACTCACCACTGCCTGACTCTGGAGACACTTACGGTGCTAAAATGCCTCCATTTGATTACAGAGTTGCCATGGCATGTGAATACGGAGTCCAGCACTCGGGGAAGCATGCCCTTGGCAAGGGAGGCCTCCTGGCTTCAGCAACACATGTTCCTGTGCAGCTGCCTTCCACCCTGCTGTGAAGCCCCGCAAAGGGCCAGCCCTGGCTTTAGTCACAGTGCTGGAACGCTGGAATCTTTGAGTGTTATTTGTCCAAATAAATAAATAACTTGTGCTGCTCTCGTCTCTCATCTAGGTATTCAGCTCTGAGTTTTGCTGCATGAGAGCTGCCATATGGAGCCCACTGGGCTCCCTGCTTGTGATTCAGAAGGGGCTGACGCCTTGTTAGGGCAACCCAAGCTGTTCTTTGGAGAAACCTCTTTCTCCTCATCAATTGTATAGGGAATATTGACATATAACTTAGTCATCCGAGTTATATGCCCTGAGTGGTCTCTAGCTTTTTAGGTGCTGTAATAGCTGTGTTGTTTGCCTATTACAGGTAAGCGGAATTCTGCCCCCAACAGAGAAGCACCTAAAAAAGAAGCCTGTGCTAATGAAGGCTGCCTCTTGGATTAATTTTGTTACTTTGAGAAATCAGTTTGAAGGTGCTGCTCATTTATTTATTCCAGCCATTCTTAACCCCTTCACCTACTCAGTGTTTCCAAGGGGAAGCTGCTCCTGCTGGCAGTGTGGGCAGACGCAGCGCAGACACAGGCAGCGGTGGCTCGAAGCCACAGCCTGGTAAATTGTTATAAACTTGACATTTGGGCTTTGATCTGACTCGCTCATGTTCTCAGTCTTTTCTGTGTTCCTAGCTGTACTTTGCCATGTCAAGTCATACTTGGCTCAAGCTGGTTCTTTCTCATTTAAGACTTCACTGCGTTTATTGAGCTGCGTTTTCTTAAATTAACGAGGATGAAACTAGATATTCAGCACAGTAAATGAGAAGGTGACAGGGGTATATACAGTTTTGTAGGAACTGGTCTTGCTGTACTTTCCATGGTACTTGAGACTAGAACTGTATTTGGACTACTGCAGTATTTTTCTACCCTACTGTTTTTGATGTCTGTTTGAGTTTTTAGGTTTCTTTTTAAAAAAGCCAACAGGATTTTTTCCCCCCTACATTTTGCAGTGAGTTCAGACCTTCTTGCCTGTGAGGAGGACTCCTACCTCCTGCTTTAGGGAGAAGATGCTGCCAGTGCTGGGCAGAGCTCCTGCCATGGCAGAGCAGAGCAGCCAACACAGGAGTTGACCCACAGCAGCAGTTCCCTACTGGGAACCACTGCCCCCCTTGCAGACACGTCCCCTGCCTAAAAGATGGGTCTTTCTCCCTGTGCCTCTCCGTAGGGAGGGCAGGGGTGGCTGCTGCAGCCGTGGGGAGGTGTCTCCTCCAAGCTGCCACGTCAGCGCCATCTTCTCCCCAGGACACGAGGGAGGCAGTGGGTAGAGAAGAGCGTTCCTTGCCTTGGAGGCCAGCTCATTTTCTCCAGAGGATAAGGCGAGGCAGCAAAATGCAGCCCTGAACAGGCTATGCTGGGGCAGGAATTTGTTTTGGTCCCTCTCCCCATGTAATGGGGCTTATGCTGCACTGGAGATGCTGAAGGAGAGGGTCCAGGATGCTTTACTATCTCCCTTCTCCCTCAGTCCAAGCCTGCTATCTGTGGCCTTTCTTAGAAGCATATTTCTATTTGAATTAATCTTTTTTAGGTCCCAGATGCATGTCACATTGCCCAAAGAGAGCATCCATCAGTGTACCCTGCCTTATGGTCCCTGGGGCTCTGCACAGCCCAACAGCTCTACTGTCTCCCTCACATGTCCTGGGGCTGATTTTGGCCTCATTCTCTAACACCAGGGTTCAAATTCCCATGGATTTCTGCAGGGCACACAGAGAATTTCAGTCCTAGCTTTGCTATGGCTTCTGAAGTATCACATACATCTGTGACACTGTGGACGTCGTAAATAAAAACAAGCGACAGAGCTCCGGGCTGTTAAAATGTCAGGATCACACTCCGTGTACTGGGCAAGCTGAGCGGGAGTCCCAGGTGAAACCCTCAGAAAAGCCAAGATGATTTATAGGGCTTTCCCATCTTCTGCAGAGATTATTAATCTTTTAGTAATAGCAAAGGCAACTGGCTAGCTAATACATTTCTAGAGTTTCCTAGTCCAGCTTCTAGTTCATAAACTCTCTCAGGTCCTAAGGAAATAATAAAAATTAAAATGAGGCTAACTGGACTCGGAGGAATATCCAGTACAGTAGGAGCCTGGAGTTTTCCCTAGTTCCCAGATGTGTGAGTCAGCCAAACCACACACACTTGTCCTCACAGTAGGTCCATCTGCCACATTGCAAATCCTGGTATTTTTCTTTTTTCTTTTTCTTTTTTTTTTTTTTTCGTTATTTCTTTTCTAAAATAGAAGGGAAAAGCTATAATTTACTGCTGTTTATAAGTGCTCAGGTAAATGTGCTCTTCTTAGTAGAACAGTCATTTCTGACCCTATGGTAATGCCATAGGGACCAAGGTAAATTCTGAAATTATGGATGAGCAGAAGAACTGATGTTCATTGGCATCATTTGCAGAAGAATTGATGCTGCATTGACATTTCCAGATATTTTGCACTACATTGGCTCTGCTTCTCGGCATGTGACAGGATTTTTTTCCCAGTGCAGGGAAAAACTTTGAAAATACTCCATAAACCAGTCCTGTGCACACTCAAAAATAAGCATGAATATAAATATTAAGGGAATCCTGGTTTCTTGAAAGTCAAAGGCAAATCTGTCATTAACTTGATGGGAGCCATAGTTCCACCACTATGACTCAGTAAGTCTATTTTCAGCTGATGTTATGTCAAAGAGCCTATCTGAAGAGGGATGGAAAGGGAGCGACAACTCTGCTCACAAACTCTGCGTCTACTTTTTTTTCTCTTTGCTATTGACAGGGCAGTATTGAGAATAATGGCTCATATTTCTGTCATTTTCATTTGTCAGCACAAGTTAACAACTTGGAGACCTTCACTAGCATAAAAATTGATGTATCCTGTATCCTTATTGTATTTTGCATACATGGTTTCTGGTCAAAAATTCAGCAAATAGAACAAACCTAGGAAACATTTCTTTAGAAAATGACAAAAACAGGACACGAGAAAGTCATGTGAAAGTCTGTCTCGAAAAATAAACATTTCCTTGGATTTGAGCAATGTAATCATACTGTAAAGAAAAAATAAAACAAAAAAAAAACCCAAAATCTTAATTCTCTCCTGCCAGCTATTTCCAGTAACCATAAAAGCCAGTAGCCTGATTCAGCTGTCTTTACTCAGTAAGGCATTAAACCTGAGGGAGTCAAAGAATAAAAGGAGACATTAATTCAGACGTTCATTTGTAATTTAACTGCCTGGGAAATGTTCCCTTTACCAAATGGAAACAAGGTTGCCTGGCCCACAAGCCATCCTTTTACCGTCTTTCAGGGTTCATTTCAGAAGCCTCAATAAAAAATACAGAAAATACAATTTTCAAATGTAGATGGAAATTCCCAATGTACTTGAGGTGACAGCTATAGCATTACAAAACAGAATTACTATTTTAAAGCCTTGGGCACTGGCAGGCCTCTGATGTCAGCTATATAAAACCACACTGACAGACAGTTATTACCAAGGTTAATCTCTGAGAATTAGGACAAGGCAGTCAGTTTTAATATGTCAGAAGCAGCTAGGAGCCCATCTGTATCTACTATGGTCCTTACTTTCTTAAACCCAGTTATATAAAAAGATTCTTACTCAGAAGTTGTAGTTGCTTTCAGTCAAGACAAGTAAAGCAGCAATTGCTCCTAAACCCTCAAGTTATTCCTTACCTGAGGCCCAGGAGCTCTGACACATCACACCATAATTATTTTTCTCATGTATGGAGCTATTCCTTCTTCTGTTGATATTTTATGGACTTTAATAGGAATAATGAAAGAACTTAGAATCTTTTGCCATGGATATGTTATTCTGAACATCAAGATACCAGGATAGCTAGTATGAGACCTTATTTCAGACTACAATGAGAAATGCTGAATGCATCCATCTTATAATCTGCAGACCGAGGCATTCTCATCAAAATCACAGAGGACAAGATTTTCAAAATACTACTCAAAAATTTAAAACAGACAAACAAGCAAACAAACCAAAGCATTATCAAATCATTTTTAAAAGTTGTGGAAGAAAAGTATTTTTCCTCAGAAGGGATGGGAAGCTTCTGTAGGAGGTATAAATGGGTCTAAATCACTCTTCCCTGAAATTGTTTTGAAGCTTTGCTACGTCTTTTGGCAAGTGAAGGAAGCAGCTCTGTATTATCACCAACACAGTGATATATGGTTAATATTTATTCTTGCATCTGTTAGCACAGGCTTGCCCAAGTCACACCAGATGCACATGAGGGGTGAGTAACTCTGCGCAATGGGAACGAACACTTTCAGGCAATTATATAAATAGCAGCATGTGTCTTTATGCATGTGCAGGCACTAAAGGACATGCTGCACGGAGGGCCAGGGACTCCACAGCACCCTGTGTCCCGCAAAATCCCACTGGAGGGTTCCAGCATCACCTGAGGGACATCTCCATGCCAAGGAGGTGTCAAGGCTCTGTCCTCATCTAGTCAGATAACAACATAGCAGATAAGATTACTAACATAGCACACAGGGTGACTAACAGGTAAGCTTCTTGAACCATGCCATAAATGCACCTTTCACAATAAAAATAACTGTAAGGTACCATGGTGAAAAAATGATCGAAGCAGAATTATAGAAGCTATAGGATAGCTACATAACAGATGGAGAGCGGTGAGTGTGAATAGTTAAACATCAGGTACTTACTGGCATCATCCATAAATTCAAATTCACCCCCTAACTCAGCACTCGTGAGGTGGTACTGGTCAGGATCGGTGAGGGCGCTCAGCAGGATCAGCAACACCACCGAATTGATGATCTGCAGAGAGGAACAAGGAAGAGGGTCACGCTCTGAACGTGTGCAGTGAAAACAGTCTGGAAAAGACATGCCCACCACAGGCTACACTGACTATGGCAGCGCTGGACTGCAAAGTTTAAAGTATTTAGCAGTAGGTAGTATTAACACTTTAATTAGGATCTCTGGTTTGTATAAAAATAAATATTTTTTCCCAAGTGGCTGGAGAATGAAATAACTGCTTAGGTTCTGCCTTTTCCTTCCCACAACACTAGACAAGATACCACTGCCCTTTCAGGTTGTAAAACATGCTAAAACATCCATCTTGGTTAGTCCTGTTGCAAAAATTAAAACCAATTTAAAAAAAAAATCATCCTGAGAATGAGCACTGTAGTCAGTGATGGCTAGCATGCAGAGCTGGGATTGAAGACATGTCCTGTTAAATTGCTAGATGATCAAAGAGGAGCTGATTTGCTGGGAGAGACTGAACTGTCAGAGAAGCCATGGAAGATGAGCTGGTTCACACGAACCTTCTAAATAAGGAGGCCCAAGGAGACAAGAGTAGGTGGCAATATTAGCCCAGTGTCCAATGCACATTTTGCTACGTCACATGCCACAGAGAGAAATTCATATACACTGAGACTTGGATATGATACAATAAGTGAACAAAAAGCAAGCAAATAACATAGAAAAAAATTAGTAGAACCCAACTGCCAAGTATGAGGCTTTAGAGGAACACAGAGGGAGCCAAGAGCTATGATACAATAAGTGAACAAAAAGCAAGAAAATAACATAGAGAAAATTAGTAGAACCCGACTGCCAAATATGAGACTTTAGAAGAATGTAGAGGGAGCCAAGAGCCGTATTTTGAAACAGGTCTGAACAAAATACTCAGATCACATTGAGGTGAGTAGGACTAATTGTAGAAAAGAGATCGCACAGCATGAAATAACACAGCCTGGCTAAAAGTTTATCCTCCACAACTAGGAAGGTAAGTGATTAAATAGTACGCTGGGAGAGCTGGATTTTTACTGCTTTGGTTCTCACTTTCAAGTCATCCCAATTTGATCACAGGTTACTAACAGCAACAAAAAGGGGTAAGAACACAGGCTTGGATACATGAACGGGCTATCTTGGATGAGATAAATGTTTTTGATGTGTAAACTCCACCAAGTTGAGCCAATTTCAACTCTGTTACTAGCAATCTTTGAAACGCAGCTAGAATAGGTCAGGTTCATGAGATGTGGAAAGGGCAAGGCCAGTGTGTGCCTTTAAAAACAAGAAAGGCCATAAAGAGAACTGCTGGTTAGAGTGTGAGATTTAAGAATAAAGGAACCCAAGAGCAAATAATGAAGCCTGAATGGCACTCAGAACTGCTACGGACAGAAGCAATAACCAACATTTGCCAAGGACAAACCATGTTAAACCATGACATCCTCCTTCTCTGACAGGTCTTACAGACAGGGGAAAAGTGGCAGATATCATCCCTTTCCATCTTAGCAGGGCTTTGGGCATAATCCTTTATGAAATTCTCATAAGCAAGCTAAGAACACACTGCTTGGTTGGAAGTGCAGACAGGTGACTCAGCTGGGTGGGCAGCTGTAATAAAGGAAGAGTTCTCATGAATTCACAGCCAAGATGGAAAATATATGAAATGGGGTTCTCCAGTATTGCTGAAATACTCACTACTGTCACTTGTGACTAGTATCTTTGCTTAATTTGCAGGTCATGCCAAGCTGTAAGCACTTTAGGAGATGGAATGAAAAAGATTTTATCAGCTATAGCAAAAGCCTGAAGCAAATAGAGCATAATTCTGTAAGGGCAAATGCAAAGCACCACATTTGTGACAACTGCTGTGACATATGACTCAATAGGTAACGGTTCTTCAAAAAGGTGTCTGGGTATGACAACGAGCAAACTCTGACTGTGAGTCAGTGTAATCCTGTCAGCTCCTCCCTGCAGCTGCGTCACGGTGGGCAGCGCGGCAGGAACACGAGCGTCAGACCCGCGCGGCCTCCTCGCCTCGATGGGACCACGGTGTCCCCACACAACCCTTGGGGAACCTACCTAGAAGGCCCCAGCCACAAGTGGGTCACTGGCCTCCAGAAAGCATGGACTGGTGGAGAAGACGACTGTGGGTGCTTAGCCCAGTGAAAAGTAGGTGGAGGCAGGTGGGGAGATGATGGGAGTCTATCACATGCAGGAAGGCAAGGAAAAGAAGAAGGTAATAAACACCTTTCCAGATAAACTGGGCTCTGAGCAAAATAACACATTTAAGTTAGACTGAAGGAAGATTTGAGTTAGACAACTTGCTGAACAAGAATCATCAGACAGCAGAAAAGATTGTGGAAGGGTGTTAAGGAGTCTTCATCACTGAATTTTTTACAGAACAGCTGGATAATTTTGTGTTGGGAGTGCTGTAGTCATACATAGTCTTGTCTTGGCATTGAACATGGGTCAGATGATCTTCAAAATCCAAACTTATATTCCATAAGTCCTCTCAATTTTTAACAGTATTTATAACTTACACTGCATTCCAGTTATTGCTTTATATTCTTTTGTAGCATGAGAGAGGATATATACCAGAAATACATGTTCCTTAAGAGGGGTACTCAAAATAATTCTCAATCACGATTTACAAATGTATATAATGTTGGTATTTTAAAGACATACAAGTTTAATCTTTTGCACAGATACAGACTGAAAGAGTCATAAAATACTGATATGGACACATCCCCATTTAGTTATGTCTAGATTGAGACTACACAGTTATCAGAGCAGTATTTGGGTGTCTCTCTAACACACTGGATGTATATGCTTGACATAAACCCTCCTGTAGTCAATGGGAATGTATCTAATGCCGTTAGTGCATCACTTTTCTATTCCATGAGGTTTTTATCCTGAGCATAATGGTCTCTGAGCACTTTCCAAAACTACTGTCAACAGGGCAAGTGAAAAACATCATGTATTTATTCTCTCGACTTCCTTCTCAGAGAAGAAAGTGTGCAAATTGGCTGTATTGGGCTTGGGTTTTGTTTTTGAAGAGATGCAACAACAGAATTTTGAATAATGCTTCAACACAGAAATTTAACATGCCTAAAAACTTACTGATGTAGAATCTTCTTAGGACACATAATCAAGCAAAAGATCATAAAGTGATTCCCTGCTGACATATGCAGTTGGTATGAGGGTTGAAGTCTCTCTTCTAGGAAAAGCAAAATATGTTTTGCTTTTCTCTCAGTGGTGCCAAGATTTCCTTCAAGACATTTTATATTACTTCAATAACAAATAATGCAATGACTAATCAACATTATGCAAAGCTTCAGGAAGAAACTAATCCCTATGCCTCCCTTATGAGACACGCTGTCCTCCTTTTACAGATGGAAAAAAATGGACATATGTTCACGAACGCGTGTCAAGTTGGTGTTCAGATGTGAGAATGAAACGCAAGTGACCAGCTGGTCCTACTGCTGCTTATGACCACACTGCCACCCAGAGCGGCAGGACAGGGTCCTGAGGGCACTGACAGCCCCCACTGTCCCTGTCACCCTCCAGGGCCCTGACCAGGACCCATTTCAGCCCAGGACAGGGCCTCAATGCTGCCCTGCGCCGCTACGTTGCTGGCTCTGGCCCCAGCTCCTGGGTGGACCTCCTGGGTGGACCTTTCAGACGCACATTGGAGTTTGGCTCCAGGCCTGTCTCTGGCCCTGTCTCCTCTCGCTGCTGGATGGTCCATGGTCCCTGGTTCAGTGTTTGCCATAGTGGGAGCAAATCCAAGTGCAAGATCCTGCACCTGGGGAGAAATAACCCTAAACACCAGTACAGGCTGGGGACTGACCTTCTGGAGAGCAGCTTTGCAGAGAAAGACCTGGGCGTCATGGTGGACAACTTGACCATGAGGCAGCAGTGTGGCCAAGAAGGCCAATGGGATCCTGGGGTGCATTAAAAAGAGCGTCTCCAGCAGGTCGAGGGAGGGGATCCTGCCC